CCGATTGATTGATTGATCAGAGCAACATTGAGAACAAAATTTTCTCAGGGATTAAAAAAGTATTCTGATGATGAAGACAATGTTCAAACTGGCCCAGCCAATCACGTGACCTAAATGCAAGTGAACTGTTGTGGAAAGAACTAAAGCTTTGAATTTATAGAAGGGAATCTTCAGGATTTGAATATTGTTTGTGTGGAAAAATGGGACAAAATCACATGTGAGTAATGCATGCAACTATCCATACAGGAGGCATCTCGAAGCTGTCATCACCAACAAAGGCTTTTATACAAAGTAAAGTATTTGTACAAAGTAGTAAATATATTTCAGTAAGTGTGTTCAATACTTTTTCCCTGTATCATTTCTGATTATTACACACACATGGACATCTATGGTTGGATTTCTTTGCATGTGTGGATTGGATGACGTCTGGTGAGAATTTCATGTCAGTAGCACTTATATATATATATTTACTTAGAAAGTTACTGATGTTTTCTATATTTATTTTACCTGCTGTATGTGCTAGTTTTCCCCTTTAAGGCCTGTTCTGCCTACCATTCTGAGACCTAGTGCCCTGGAAGAATATGATAATTCAGGTTAAACTAAATTAAGGAGCAAATCTATTGAACATAATTATTATAACTAGAATAGATGCGTGGGGCACGATGTGTGCAGAAAGAAAATGGCCTGAAAGTGGGTCAACTGTGGTCTTTTGTAAATATAGATCTAGAAAATATTTGCTAACCAAAGCTGAAATTTCATGGTAATCATTATACATGTTTAAACCAATGAAACATTATTTATTTATTTATTTTACAAATTGGGGCAGGTTTAATAGAAAATCATCAAAGAAATTGATGATTTCAAATGAAAGGACCCAATTATTGAAAATGAAAACATTTCAATTCATAGATAAAAAAATAATAAAATAAAATCTAAATTAAAACCATAAAAATGTCTTATAGATTCAATCATACCTGCTAAAACTTGCCTGGTGACCCATGCATGTAGAGATGAGTGGATGAAGTCATATGAAGCATTTGAGGCTTCTTCCTGATTCAAAGCCTCAAAGACAGATCATACCAGAGGTCAGTTGCAGTTATGGCACCCAAAAACTACAAACGGGTTCAGTGAATCACAAATGATTCACAGAACTCATTGACTAAAGTTCAAACACAAAAGAAATTCAGTCTTAAGCAGCTGTGCTTTTATTATAAAAATCAGTGCCCGCGAATCAAAGTGTTACATTTTGAAATGTAAATTTACTGATTCGATGTTTAACAGTAGAGCTGCAGCTATCGATTATTTTAGTAACTGAGTAATCAAACGATTCATTGAATAAGAAATAATATAAATAATTTTGTCTTATTAATGAGAAATAATAAATATTCAAAAGAGGAAAAAAACTGTTTAACTGCATACAACATTCAGTTAAACATGCAGTCAAAAAATCCCAACTAAACCCTACATGTCATGTTGAAATTTCTTTTTTGAATAATTTCTGAAATGCAAAAAATATATAAATAATCTCAAGTACAGTCAAAGTTAAATAAAATAAGATATATATATGAAATCTATGGCATAATAAAATGATCTTTCCTCTGTCTCCCTCGAAGGCTTTCTGGTGTTAAGAGGGGCAGAGTTTTAGTGCTACTGAAAACAAATGTTATGATGGAGCAGACATTAATTAATATTAATAATCCGGTGTCCAACCTAACAACCCTCAGGTCTGTGGCTAGGAGTTTAATGGCCCATGTACATTTTTATTGGCTGCCTCTTTGCTCTTCGCAGTGTGTAAACAGACTCCGAGTGCGTTTAATTGTGCCAGAGTCATCATCACTGTTGCTGCTGTATTAGGAGTGTTGTCGCAAATGTGGGTGAAACGCTTGCATTTACATCATTTAACACATCTGCGGGCTACAGAGCCACGCACTGAACGAAGCATCAAGTTGATTAATTCATTTGATTGACTGAACAGGTATTCCTGATGTGTGCCCTGTGCTCTATGTGTGGATGCATGCTCAATCATGCAGGTAAGTAAATCCCAAAAGGTTGGTTCATCTGGACGCAGCGTTTTCGTCACTCATCCAAGTGACTTCTACAGTCTCAGCTGACTGCAGGTTTCCCCAACCTATAAACAGTATATTTGCACACAGTGGGTTTGGTGCTGTGAGGAGCTCAGATGATCATGTGCCAACAGGCTTATTTTGCTCATAGTGAAAGGTAAGGAATGTCAGAAAAATTATGAATAGTTAATTGTAATCAAATATTGACTTGCTTCATTGCTGTTGTGCTTTTTTTTAATGTAAACTCATGTTTTGCAAAAAAAAAAAAAAGTGTACATGATGGAGGGAAATGGATATCTTTTTTGAATTCAGCACTCTAAAAAAAAAACCCCCAGAATTTACAAAAACTATCCCATGCAGCAGAAAAATGTTTTTTGCAGACCTGTGTTACAACTTTCACTAATGTTTACATTAACTTGGATTGTGAAGTCAGGGTTGGTGTGGCTTCACTGCAGAGTCCATTTCTTATTAATGGGCTGCATGCTACAGGTATTTAAGGTGGCATTATTTAGACCATTGCTTAAAAGACCATGGCTATAACCTTAGTCTTAGCTAACTGTAGGCCAATCTCCAACCTTCCTTCTATCTCTAATTCTTGAAAGAGAAGTGGTAAAACAGCTAACTGATCATCTGCAGAGGAATGGTTTATTCAAAGAGTTTCAGTCAGGTTTCAGAACTCATCACAGAACAGAAACGTCATTAGTGAAAGTTACAAAAGATCTTCATGTGGCCTCTGACAGTGCTCGTCCTGTAGACCTCAGTACAACACTGAATACTGTTGACAGTATTATTTTATTACAGAGATCAGAGCATGCCATGGGAGTTAAAGGTACAGAACTGCAGTCATTTGAACCATACCTAACAGAATATAATTTGTTCATGTAAACAGAGTCCTCTTCACACACAAAACTAATTGTGGAGCTTCACAGGGTTCTATGCTAGGACCAATTTGGTTTCACTTAGGCAGTACTATTAGAAAACATAGCATATATTTTCATTGCTATGTAGACGATCGCCAGCTCCATCTGTCAATGAAGCCCAAGGACATATGGCAATTAGTTCTTAAGAGACTAAATTCTGAAAAGAATTCAGATAAAACTGGTGTGCAAATTAGAAAAAACAGGAACCAAAGTTGTATTTTTGTTTTATTTTTTCACTTCGTTTCAGCAGACTGTCTCAAGCTAATTCAAGCTGAATTTCAGAGCTCATATACTGTCATTGAAATAGCAGTAAAAACCAACATAAATATATTCCCACGTACCAGGTTTACCCACCCACCCCAAAAAAAGCCCAAAAGACAAGGGACAACTGTGTCCTCACCAGCACAGTACTGGTGGAAAACAAATAGCTGTTGGTTGGATAATTCTTTGATAAAAACAGAAAGGGGCACAAATAAACAGAGATTAGATGGGTTTGGATAGGTGTTTTTTTTTATTTTAAAACTTTCTATTAATGAGGTCTCAAAGTGTAAGCAGGGCAAAGTGCATCTCCTACCAGTAACTTACAGCCTAAGTGCTGAGCTTTCATTCAAAACACATTTTCATTCTGTCTGAATCTCCATGTCAGACAAACAAAAAGTTTGCTCCCTGTCACCTGACAGAAGAAGAGAAGTGGTTTTTATCTGTCTTTATGTTTCATCTCGTTTCTGCGTTCAGCTCACAGACGGTGGGTGGGGTGGTGTGTGTTGCAGAACAGTGAACCTTCCCCTTTGCGCTACAGCTGTTCACTTCTTCCTCACATGTTGGTGCTCATCCTGGTCTGACTGTTGGCTGGTGTGAGTTCACCCTGGCTGCCTTCTCTGGGTGGAGACTGAGAACAGGAGGAAACAAGTAAGGCACTACTCTTGTTCAACAGCATAGCTATAAACTCTGTAACATTGAATAACAGGTGAGGTTCAAAAAGGAAAGAAGACTTTAAAAATCTTATCAGAATATTAAAACCCCGAGTCCAACAACCATCAGGAGCTAGTCTTAGTTACTGCCAGCAATGTTGACCAAGTTCTTGCAAATGTGGTCGAGGAACCGAATGGCTGGTGGCAATGAGCCAGATACCCCGTACTCCTGAAGCATCCACTACAAGGATACTCCAAGGGCCTTGACGAACTCAGAGCAAGTCCCATCCGCCCCAGGTTCCCTGCCATTAAGGAGTTGTTTAACTACCTCAGTGATTCCATTGTGGAAGGCGTGTCAGTGGAATTAAGTATTCATTCACCAACCACCTCTATCCTTAGTTAAAGTCAGTAGCACTCTACCCGCACTATGTATCATGCCAGTAGATAACTGGTTTCTCCTCCTGAGTCACCCAATCCAATTTTAGAAACCCCCCTCTGTTAATATTAATACTGTAATCTGTACCATTCATTAATTTACAATCAAATACATTTTAGATATGCCATTAAAAAGAAGCTCATCACCAAATCACACGAAATTTACTGTAGTCAGACTTGATAATAACCTCTATCTCAACACAAAGAACATTATGAACAACTGAAAAAGAAAAAAAAAGTTATTCACTACAATGTGAAGAGAAGAAAATGTCTCTACCTTGACGTGAATCTGGTTGCGCAGCACAGCAGCACGGAGAATCATGGCTTTGGCTCGTCTCTGGAACTCTTTGCCCATATGAAGAGACTTCTCAAATGTGGTGCTCCTTTGGTCGACGTCCCTCGCATACAGAATCTACGAGCAGGTCAGAGTCCCAGTTTGTCAGGGTTCAAACAACAAAGTACCTGTGGCAACGGTTTGATGTGTGCAGCGTTTTCACCTTGCTGTGGGAGTCGATACGTGCATTAATGAGACCCTCCAGTATGAGCTGGGTGAGCTCGTCCTCCAGAGCTGTTACTGTTGTGTTGAACGCCTGAGCCATCTTGGTCATGTCTGCTGACACGTAGGGGCTGAAATACTGGGAGGAGGAGAAAAAAAACAGAAAACCCACACACAAGAAAAATATCAGTGCTCAAAAACATGACACTTGAAAAAGTTAGTACAAAGTACAAAGATTTATAGTGATTACATTAGTTTGGTCAATCATCTTTCTCAGAAATGCCTGTGCATGTTAAACAGTATTACATGTATATGAGATGCTTCCTTGTAACCAACACTATCATCTTCATTTACAGATCACAACACTTCACTAGACCTGTCAGCAGCTGCAGTGCCATCGTGTTACCACAAGCCAAACACGCACAGCACAGTACTGCTGACTGGATTTAGGCAATCAAACTGTGAGACAACACTGCCACCATCAAGTCACAATAACTGCAGATGAAACAGATTCTCCCTAAGATTCATCCAGTACTTAGATATTCAGAAACTGCGTAAATCCATTAACAGTGACAGTCATTATGACAGACAAGTGAAACTAGTAAAACTTTCAAATACCTAATATTTTATGTGACTATTTGTTGTCTCAAATATACACATTCCCTTGTCTTTGCTTTGTTTTTTTGAAGCCAGTGATGGTAGGATGTAATGTGTTACTATCGGAAAAAGGTGGCAGCACTACACCAATGCAGGGGGCAGATCTATCTTATGGAGGGGCTTCATCCTGCCACGGCTACTATTTATACACCCTGTTTTGTTCCCCCCCCAAAGAATCAGCAGCAACTTGATTATCCTGTGCACGGTCAGTGTGTATGCAGTATGTCTCACCTGAATCAGGGCTCTGTTTCTGATCTGGCTGTACAGTGTCTTGACATGTGGTGCCAGGTACATGTCCAACAGGAGGTTATCCTGCAAGAAACAGCACAATCATATACTGCACTTTCTGTGTGTGTGTGCGCGCGCTCATATTATGCAACAGCGGGAGCACACACTCTCCTTTGACGCATGTGTAGTGTTACTTCAGGGGTGGGCAGTTCATTTTCTCTACTGGCCACATTAGAAAGTGAGGAGGCCACATCAACAAGCTGAACTCAGTTCTGGTCACTATTAATTTATGTTTCTCTTTTCTTTTTGGTCTTGAACAAATGTATTAAAGTCAGGTACAATGTCTGAGCCTTCCATTCTGCATCTGAGAGCTCTGAAATATACTCACCTCTCTCTTTAGAAGACTCAATTTTGGTTCTTAGGTTCCTACCCTTTAGTACTTTGAACAGGCAAAGCCAGCTGATAGCTGTGTAGTGGCCTACATCACCATGTGTTACATGTCTGTGATTAAGTGCTCTTACCCTGATAAAGTTAACTATTTGAAATGGACTGGTTCTTAGCAGTTTTCTACCCTACCTGAGTACTCAAAGCGCTTTATGACACATGCCTCATTCACCCACTCAAGTGCTTTCTAACATTCACCGTGCAATAGATGCATCGGAGAGCGACCTGGGGGTTAATATCCTGTTCTAGGGCTGTTCGATATAACGACATATATCGGATGACGATATAAAAACGTCTATCGTTTCATTTTACGCTATCGTTTGTTTCGTGGTGTCGCAAAATAAACTGTTTACGGCAATATTTTTTTCATCGTTTTGATGGTCACTGTAGTGGCTATATTAATTTCTTAAAGTTCTCTCTTTCTCTTATATTTAATATAACCACACTACGGACGGACAAGCGCCTGTTTTTAATGGGTTGTCGTTAGCAACAACGACGGTAACAGCATCGCATGTCTGCTTGTTTATTTTCCACATAAACCTTTCACAATAAAGCTCAAGATCCTGTTGAGAATTTTCAAAATAAACTGAATCATGTGAGAAAGTATGCAGAGTGTTGAC